ACCGATGTGAGCCGGTGAGCGCCGGGCAGCTGTGCGTGCATCATCAACACAGCGCCGTTTGGATGGAGGCTGCTTGTCTCGCTCGGGTGCGCGTTTAACACCGTTTGGGTGGTGATCGTGCAGTTCTGATTGACAACAAGTTATTTCGCTTACCGTGGTGTCACGTGAGCGTCTGGGCATGTGATGGAGCGACGGTGGATTTAAAAAACCTTTATTTAAGGACACCGGCTCTCTATGTGTGGAGGATGTGTGTGTAGCGGCTGTGAGCTCATCCGAACTTACAGACTGGCTAAAAACAGGCATTTTGATCTTTGAAAAATCATTTATTTCAATTCCTGTGTCATTTATACACACATCCTCCTTTCTTAAATCTTTTCCCCCGTGAGCTCTGCGGTTTGTTTGCCCCGAGCGCCGTCTGCAGGCGATCTCTGGGGAAACGCTGAAGTGCAGGCTGCCGGAATGAGGAGGGGTGGTCTCTGGCGGGCGGGGCTGGTGGTGGAGCTGGGCGAGACGAAGCTGCTGCTGCCGTGGAGCGTCGATGTTTCTGCCTCTGCTCTCGACGGTCTCTCCAGCGGGCTGGGGGACGGGATGAGCCGCGCGGCTTGATGAGATGGCGTACCGCTTCCGACATCTCCTCCGACTGCTTCGAATTTGTCAGCATGGTCGTCAGGCTGCTTCCGAACAGCGCGTCCGATGAGATGGGGCCCTCCATCAGGTCCTTGTGCAGCTTTTCCAGCAGCAATGGAGAGTGACGGAGCCAGATGGAACGTTGGATTACCGTCATCCACGCTGCAATCCTCGACAGTCAAACCGTGGAAGCGGCGCACATGTTGAGGACGGCGTCTGCCGATTTACACAGGGAGCTCTTTGTCTCCTTCGGCAGGTCTGAGGCCTCCAGCCTTTTCGACATGCTAAATGCTAACAGCGCCACGTTGTTGTTAGCCGCGGCCGCCTGAAAAGCACACTGGTGGGCTCTGTTGGAGAGCGCGGTCGCCACCTGGTCGTGTTTCCCCGGAGGGACGGGACGCTTCTCCAGCCTGGACATCTTCACTCCGAAGGCTTCCGCGAGGCTTGGCTCCAGGGGGGGGGACCGAGGAATAGCGTCAGTTGCCTTACAGAGGGAGTTCTTTGTCTCCAAGGCAGGTCTGCGGCCTTCAGTCCCTTGGACATGCTATATGCTAGCAGCGCACGTTGTTGCTAACTGCGGCTGCCTGGAAACACGTCGGTGAAAAATAACCTTTCCGCCGATCATCCGAACTGGCGGGAAAAGGCGAGGGACGTAGAAAAAAGGGGTCCCTTCATGTCAGCCTCCTCCCGGGTTCCGCCGGGCAACCCCTGAGGGCGCCGTCGGCCGGGAGCGGTGTGATCGCCGATGCGAAACGAGGTGGGATGGGGTGAGCATTCACTCAGCCCCCCTCCACCTACACTACGCTCCCCAGGAGGGAATGAGCAGCGGGGGCTGCAGCTGAGCACACCTTGCCCCGGAGGAACCATCCGGTTCGCCCCGAGGGTCGGCGATAAGAGGAAAAAACACAAGATGGCGTTGTCCAGCGTGTAGTGACCTGTCACTGGGAAATGTTCCCCGACGCTTACCTTGGAATAAGACTGCTGTCATCTTCTCCTCGGGGAGGAGAACTCACCGGACGACCGGAGGTCGACTGCCGGGCCAAGCATCCTTCACAAAGGTTGGTCATTTACACAATTTATCTTCTTTGTTCTTCTGACAGTGCTATATTAGCTCGCTGAAGAAAAAATGGGAGCCGATTTCCCGCTCTTAACGTAATTTATACGGACCGGGTGGGGCCCACACAGCAGGTGGGCGTGGACTAAATTTTTTCAGTGCTTATGCTCTGCATAACGGGATAAACCCATCAGCGACAGCCTTAAAGGGCGAAGCCTATATGAAATAGAACTGAGTTTTTCCTTTCCACTGTTGCCTTTGTGTTTGCTCAGGAGACTGTGACAAAGTGAAGATTCAACGCATCTTCTGGCTTTCTTATGTATGTGAATGTTTTTGTTCAGTGCCCTGAGATGACTTCTGTTGGCACTTGGTGCTATATAAATAAACTGAACTGAATTGTATGTTTAATAAAAATAACAATTATTTACATATTTGGCAATGTAATATATGATAAGTTTATCTAACAAAACAAACAAAAAAATTAAATAATATTTTGAAAATGGCTTCTCACTTATGTATTTTTCAAGTCATTACATGAATTGGGAAATTTATTTTTATTTTTAGTCTACCTTAAATAACCTTTTAAATGATTAATAAAGCACCAAATATCATTAAGTAGCTCATTGTTGCCAACACAACATTGTTTACTGTGTGTTGAAATTCACAAATGTACTTTTATCACAATGTATTTTTCTAAATAATAAAGTGTTATGCAGCAGAATAAGGTCATGTAACTAAACAAATAAACAGTAAATAAACATTACATTTATAAAGAACAATAATAAGCATTGATAAGGATTGTTTTTTTTATATTGTAAACAAAACCAATATCAAAACAACAATAAAAATGGACTTAGCACCATTGAGTGACTGAATTCACATGATCAGCTTATAGGATGGTTCTGATTGGAAGTCATGGTTATTTAAATAAACACAAGACAAAAGTTTTGATCTTTGAGTCAATTTAAACTTTACTGTGAAAACACTGTTTTTGACTTTCAAACCATTATAGAAAATATGTTTTTAGAGTTTGTGGTGTTTTTGATTTCTTTCAAATGGTGACTTTTAGTTAGATTTTGTTGGCTTCATTTGGGTTTCTCCAGCATTATTTTCACTCATTTACTCTAACTATTAATTTTCTCTCTGTTGTGTTTTTAAACATTTTGCTTCCTGCCATTGTTCTTTTTTGGCGTCTAATTTTGTGTATTCTATCTGCTGTTCAATTCCCTGCTTTGGTGGTTTACTCTCCATCTGGTGGCCTCCAGATGTTTACATCTGCGGTTTTATCTCATCCACAGCAGTTCTGTTCAGGAATGGTATGAAAGTAATCAAGACCAACATTGGTCCAGCGGTTCAAAAAATAAAAATGAAATTAAAAATAAACATGCAAAGTTAAAAATCCTGACTTTTCTGTGGTGCAACATAGACAACCTCAGTGAAGTTCCCACTTAACAGAGGAAGGTGATAATTAAGACTGGGTCCAGTTACAGGCAGAAGATCTCCAATCAGTGCTAAAAGTCAGAAAGTCTCTGATTGAGGTCACAGCAACTTAAAGCAGAAAATGGAATAAGACAAAAGTCATTAAATCACCCATAGATTAAATATCTCAATGACTCTAAAAAAATTGTTTGCCTTTGTGTAGAAAACTGTAGGACAACTCAAACCTGATTAGCTATTTTTAAGTTAATTTACTATAATGTTTACAATAAATGGTTATGTGGCGCAAACGACAATAAAGAATCTCTGACTCTGACTCTGATAAATGATGCATAACCATAACAACAAGGTGTTTTTTACAACTGGGAGCTGCTGATTAACATCTCAAAAGCTCAAATAATACCTCAACTACAGCCCCAAATCCCAAATGGGTTTAAAGGAGGTACCATGGATGAATTCCCGTCTACCTGGCGATGGTGCTCGAGTGCATGACTGCCGAGATCCTGGAGTTGGCAGGAAACGTGGCTTGTGACAACATTAGGAGCATGATCGTCCCCCAGCACCTGCAGTTGGCTGTACGCTATGAAGAGGAGCTCATCAGGCAGCTTGGAGGAGTGGCCATTGCTTGAGGAAGGGTTCTGCCCGGCATTTGGGCGGTGTTGCTGCCCAGGAGGACTGAGAGGCCCGTTGGATCTGGGTGGACGGATTGGCATCATATGACCAGATTCTTCGGATCCACTTCGGGAGACCCTTCCTGCCCATAGCTATCAGCATCTATACTAACTCTTGAATGAAACCAGGATAACGAGTTACAACAAGATTCAATTTCCCTTTGGGATTAATAAAGTATTTTTGAATTGAATTGAATATAATTATATGACAAAGTTTAGTACTTCTGCCCAGCCCCTTTTACAGACATTTTGATGTCTTATAATACTACTAATAATATACATAAAAATATTATTAACTATTTTGTAAAAATATCATTTACCTTGGTAGTAAATTTATGTTATGTTTGTTTGTTTGTTTGTTTGTTTGTCACAGGTTAACACAAGGTCAGCAATGCAATGAAATATTCAGGATGAGAAGAACTGATTTGACTCGGAATAAATAAATCAAAATAAGAAATACTAAAGCATGCTATAAGGGTACAAAATAAAGTACAAAAAGGTGAAAAAGACATAATATTTACAAGGTTCAAAAGAAATATAGTAAACAACAACATGGTAGAATACAATGGTGCAAGTAGGGTGAATTTGTATGAATAAGTATTTCACAAGTGGTAATATAAGCTTAAATGAGATATATTGCACATAACTAACATAAACTGCACAGGTTGTGTGACAGGTTATTGCACAGATAGTGAGTAACATGGAGATTAATTGAATAAGAAAAAAACCAGTATATGACATACATGACACAGCCATATAGTGCAGCAGCAATAAACACATTAGTTGTCACAGATGTGGCTTGATGCAATATTATTGTCAGTTGTTCAGTATTATTATGAAGAGTTCAGTAATTTGACAGCTTGTGAGGAATAACTGTCTTTGAGTCTTTTCGTGCGCAATGACAGACTCCTGTATCGTCTGCTTGAGGGTGATAGAGGGAAGAGTCCTCGTGCTGGGTGGGTGTGGTCCTTAATGATGCTTAATGACTGATTGACGTCCTGTTAGCCTCTTCATTAACACGCAGGGCACTGTATCGTTAAAAAACTTTTAGCTACAGACCCACGCAAGCAGCACCTGCTACAAAACACCACCTAACACCCCAAAAGCAAATATCAGCACTCACGTTGTGATGCCATGTGATCAAATACATCATTGAAAGTAAGAGCAGCATCATGAAAATATACAGAAAAGCACAACATTAAACAAGGTGCTTAAACATCCACCTCCTCCACAGTTTGTCCAGATTTCAGCCTCATGATCACCTGCCCAAAATGAAACAACGGGCAGAATTTAGTTATCACAACTTTTTCACAGCTTTGTTTTATTCTAAAGCAACACAAGTTCATATTTAGGTAGACCTGACCTCTTTTAGTTGGGCAATCTCTTTGCTTTCCACATTTCTCTGAGCATTGTTGGTTATGGCTTTCACTCTTGTTGCATAACTGAAGGGTTCAACAGGTTCAGGAGTTAATGAGCAGTTTATTGTCATCGTAAAAGAAAATGTCGGGCTTGTCCGTCATTCTTACATAAGAGATGTGAGAGTCTCATCAAGATTGCATTCTGAAGGAGACACGTTGACAATCATCAGAGTTTTGGCGTTTCCGCCTAAAGAGTCCTGCATCACCTGAAAGAGATGAGCTGCATTGTTACAGCGCAGGACCACTCATAAAGAAGCACACTTGCTGTAATTTTCATTGCTGCTTTGAGTTATTTAAACGTTAGACCAAGGTTGTCTGTTCTTTTCATTGGTACCTGAGTCAGCTTGCTGTTCCTGTACGGAACATGGGGCAGCTCTGCAGACAGGGCTGAGATCACGTCACCCAGAGCACTCAGAGACTTATTGATGGAGTTTGCCTCCTGCACAGAGGAGAAGAGGGACTCAGGAGATATTCTACGTTTTTTTAGTCCCTCGTGTGTCTCAGTTAGGTCATAGTTGGGCTCACCTTGAGCTGGTGGTCCTTGGCACCAGTTTTAGCTGCCCTCTCACTGCCTGCAAGATCCACGAGGCTCAGCTTTCCGGTGCTCACGCTCCCATTGGTTAAATTCTTGCTTTGCACCATGATGCCAATGATGAGGTGGGAACGGGAGCTCTCCACATTCATCTCTGGAGAAATATTCAATCACATTAATAACAACAACAAGGGACTGTGGTACAGTGTTTGAAATAAAGCACTCTCTCACAGTTCTGTCATTGAATCATCAGATTTAGAGAAACAACAGGACCAGTAATGCTGTACATGACTGCCTCACACTACCTTCAGCTAAGTGAATTAAGCTGAACCATTTAGCATGAACCTGTCTGAACTGGGTGACACTGCATGGGGAACTCACTGGTGGCAGAGATGTGTCGACTGTTGCACGCCTGCTGGAACAAAGCGAAGAGCTCCTGGGCACTGGAAGCCTCCTTTGTCTCTGCTCCTTGAGCGAATACAACCCCCTTTCTGTTCCTTTTGATCTCCACCCGCCTGGCCGGGCTGTGGGGCTGTGTCTGTGCATGGGCCTCACCCGCCTGACTGATTAAAAGGTCCTGCAGCCTGTCGTTGTATAGCTCCAGCATGTAGGCCGAAACCTGAAGGAGAACAAAAAGAAGGGGGAATTGAGGTTCTAGTTTTAAGTTTGGGAGAATTTCTCTGTGGTGATGTGTCGTTTGCTACCTTGAAGGTAAACCTGGAGCTGTTCTCCTGCATGACATCAAATATGGCGTTGAAAGCTCTTGGCATGATCCCAGGGTTCTTCTGATCCTTGTCCCCCACCATGGTGAAGGTCTTTCCTGAGCCTGTCTGGCCGTAAGCGAAGATACAAACATTGTATCCATCAATGACCAACTGGATGAGCCTGGGGGAGATGAGATATCTGTCAATCTTAAATCACTGGTATTTTCCCATGACATCAAGTCACTTTCTCTGCTTTAAAATTTCACTATGTCACTTTTTAGCTTGAGTCTTGAAATATTCGTGAATATTGTGGGATCACCCTCACCTGTTTGTGTCCTGAAACAAATCCTCCTGGGAGCTTTCGGCACTGAACACTTTGTCAAACTGAAACTCTCTGGGCCCTCGCGGTGTGTCCACCATGACGGAGTGATCGTCTAATTTATCCACAACAACAACCCCACCCTGAGCAGCTTCACTGCGGTTCACCGGACGAATTCGACAAAACACCCTAATTTTACCTGTGAGATCAAATCAGAAAAAAGCACATTAGACAACAGTTTAGCCGACACTGGACAAGTATTAAAAAAAGCTTTGGTATTTGGACACCTTTCATTTCTTCCACCATGTTGTAATATTTCTTCCTCATTGCTCTTTCTGAAGTGTAGTTCTCAATGATTTTCTTTTTCTCCTCCTTTTCTTGCTTCAGCTTCAGAAAACATTTGAAAAAATTCAGTCATTATGAAATAAATGTACCATTTGGCTGTGCATACTCAGACAGTTAACTTGTCATTGTATATAAAACCTCCAGCGTTCAAATGTAAACTTCTTGTGCAGACATTGGAGATTTTATGTTTGAGTTTCAACACAACTGGGTTTAATAAGACTCACACACACTAACCTGATCCTGCAGCAAGAGAAGCTGCTGACCGATGCCCTTTACTTTATTTGGTATTTGAATTGTCTCTTGCCCAAGGACGTCCTCCAGCTCTGATATTTCACAATCTGAGCAAAAAGAAAACATGAGAAATCAGCGATACGTCAATACTCGATGCAGTTACAGGAACATGCAGCTCTTGCAAGGCTGATATAACGATAACAATCCAGGTAGAGTATTACATCATGAATAAAAGATGCAAAGTTAACAATGATTTGTTTAAGATTAGTCAGGCTACCATCGTTTGTTGTGAATTTACCATTTGTTTCAGGGATTTCTCCAGATTTGATGCAGTCTAAAGCAATCTGACAGACCTCATACTCCCTCACTGTTTCTTCTAGAAAAGTTAGACTTGACTCATTTGACCTATGAAGTGAAAAATTATTAACAGTTACCAATCTGACCATTTTATTTAGTAAAATAATTAATGCAAAAATTAGCATTTTGTTCTAAATAATCTGGTACCACTTTACAATAAGGCTCCCCTTATAGATGGCTAATAAATAGTTTATAGACATGTTATTAATTCCTCTATAAGCACTTTATAAATCATTAATAACTGCTTATTATGCATTAATTAAGGGTGACAGACAAAACTGACCAGTTTCTTACCAAATAGTGAGCCAAATCTGTTCACCTATATATTTTATCTAGAATTGTTATATTAAACATTTCAGACTAAGTTACTACCTTGTAAGCACAATAAGTATTTATAAACCTAATTTTTTTAAATATAATATTGATACTTATATTGCAGTGATAAAGTACAATATTATATGCTAAAGAAAATAGGTTTACAAATGCCTAATGTGCTTACAAGGTAGTAATTTAGTCTGAAATGTTTAATAAAACATAGATGAAATTCAATTAATTCAATTCAAAAATACTTTATTAATCCCAAAGATAAATTAAATGTTGTTGTAATTCATTATCCTTGTTTCGTTAAAGAGATGTTACAGATACTGATGGCTGTGGGTAGGATCTCTTGTAAAGGTCCATCCCACAGTGGATCCAAAGAAAATGGCCGATAAATATAAATCAATTAATTAAATTTCGTTTTTCTGAGCTTGATATTGGAAGACGTAGAGAATAAATCGAGACTCAAAATATTTTTCGTCTCTTTCGGCCAACTTCCACATTGGAATTCCACATTCCACATTATTATTCCACATAAAAAATAATTAATTAAATCTTAACCTTTAAATATAAATTAATTAGTTAAATTTATAGATGAACAGATTTGGCATTTGACAAGAAACTGGTCCGTTTTTTTCTCTTTCTCACCTTAATTAATGCATATTAAGCAGTTATTAATGATTTATAAAGTGTTTATAGAGGATTAATAATGTATCTATAAACTATTTATTAACCATATATAAGGGGATTCTCATTGTAAAGTGGTACCAATAATGCCTCTAAGCAATATATTTAAAAAAAATGAATTTTCATGACTCCTAACCCCTCCTGGTCAGCGGTCTTCTCTCCATTGTTCCTGTTTTGTTTTGTGCTCTGCAGTTTGTCTCTGGCTTCAGCCAGAGCCACCCGGTTTTCCTCGATCATCACATCCAGGAGATGCTGAGTCTCAGCCACAGCACAACAAACTGCATGAGCCTAGAGAAGGTTATTGCATCAAAACAATGAACTTTAATCAATTTGTACAGCATATAATTTCCTAAGTGAAACATTTAAACAGTTTTCAGCTCATTTGCTCATTTCTTATCACCTTATGTATGAGAACAGGCAGCAGAGCGCTGCAGTGGGGCTGTGGGACAGGGGGGCCGGGGCTCCTCTCTGCCCTCAGCAGCTCAGTGATCTCCCTCTCCCTCTGGTACAGGTTCTCCTTCAGCTCCTCCAGATGGGCGTTAGCCCCTTCCAGAGGCTGATCTGAGCCACTGCAGGTCTGAGTACAGATCCAAGGATAAAGCATCAGAATTAAAAAAGTGAGAAACATCAACACGTTCATTTAGTCATGTGGATAATGTCTGTATCTGACGGGCCTGCTGCGGTGTTTGAACTGCAAAGGTGGGAGTGTTTTCAGACATTAGTCGTCTTCAGCGGTGGTGTCCAAACGTTTCATATGTGGACCAAAACTATCCAGATGAAAGGATTCATAGGCCACAAAAATGTGAATGTAACTCTCAACTTGAACAATATTTTGGAGAAAGGACAAAAGTTGACTCATTTTGATGGAGAAAGAGTTTTAAATTGTTGTAGATCCAAAACATTAAAAGCCTCACAAACCTTTTATTTTTCCTTCTTCTTCTTCTTTCGGCTGCTCCCTTCTTCAGGGGTCACCACAGTGAACTAAGTCGCACCAAGACTTGGCAATTATTTTTATACCGGATGTCCTTCCTGACACAACCACAGACCACTGAGCTACCACAGCCCTCTGTGTGGAACAGAGAGCTGCCATCTAGAGTGTCTGGGAGAGCAGATGGTGGGGGTTAAGGGCCTTGCTCAAGGGTGTAGAGTAGGGCAAATGAGGGTGGAGGCAGGAGTGGGTGTTTCACCTTTCCCCACCCACAATTTGATGTTGTCGGTAACAGGAGTTGAACTGGCAATCTTCCTATCACAGGCCCACCTTCTCTAACCTCTGCGCCACCAAAAAGCTTTATAAACACTAAGCTTATATTTGTTATTAAAAAGGATTTGATTTATTTGATTTGTTGGGTCTGTGTTTGTTGTTTTCTTATTTTACTCTGTTCTCAACAACAAATGCGTAATATGAGTAAGTGTCCTTTAAAAGGAGGTCGATCAGCCTTTTGGACCATGGACGGCCCAAAAGGCTGATCGCAGTTCTGAAAAACTGTCCAGCTGTCAGTCGCTACAACAGATTCATAGAAGGTTTGATAAAGTTGATCAACTCATATGTTGATGATACCACGTTATATTCATTTAAAAATGTCCTGTTTCCCTCTTGATTATTTTATCAACTGCTATATTTAGACAAGTTTTATGAATCATTTTCTAAAAGGCTCCTTTCTGGTAGAAATCAGTAACAGTTTTTGGTGCTTTGTACTATGAAAAGAAAATATAAAGATTATAGCCAAAGCCAAAGGCAAAGGTTTATATTTTGCTTAATGTCGCTCACTTTGAGAAGATTATTTTTCATTTATTTTGCTGTTAAATCTAAACGTTATATAAAAAATGATTACCAGAAAATTTGCATAAAGTCTGCATCAACATCTTAACCCTGCTGGCCAAAATGAAACTCTTAAACTGCAATTGTGGGCCGCACAAAATCACTCCAAGGGCCGCAAATGGCCCTCGGGCCACACTTTGGTGGCCACTGTGATTTACAGCTACATTTTATCATTTTACATGATATCCAACAAAGGATCGGTTGTTGTAATTAGTTGGTTGTTTTGTTGTCATAGCAACTGTTTCCAACCCACCTCAGTTTGTTGTTGAGCTGTGTGTTCTTTATTGTCTGAGTTTCCATTTTCCTCTGTGGCTTCCTGCTGCTGCTGTGATGATACGGTCATCAAATCTTGGACTTTCACTATTTCCTGTCTGGCCATCTGCAGCTCCTGCAGCGCTGTTTGGTGTGAAATGCACAAAAGTCAGTGATTTTTTAAGTTTTTTACGTCTTGGACTCATGCTGCTGGACTCACTGGAGGTCTGGTGGCAGTGCAGGGCATCCATCCTGTTGGAGAACAGCTCCAGCATTTTGCTCTGACAGAAAAAAAAAAAGCAGACGATCCTGATAAGGTCCCTGCTGTTCTCAAATGTGCCCAGAAGAGTGTGCTCAAGTTTAGAGGGTAGAATCCTGCCACCACCTAACTTTTTCTCTTTGCCACTGCAGGGCCTCCTCTTTACTTCTTCTCCTCTCGGCTCTCTGCTCCTGGAGAAGCTGCTCATTTTGTGCAGCTAACCCCTACAGCACAGAGAACCATTTACATGTTTACATGTTTGTGGTAAAAAAGCAGAAAGAATAAATAAAAGGACGAGTAACTGACGGCAACTTTCTTCTCCCAGTCAGCCTTGTTCTTCTCCACCCTCTCCTGGTAGAGGTCAAGGATTCTCCTCACAGTGTTTAACTTGTTCTGATAATGAGATCTGACCTTCTGGATGATCCACTTCTGATAACACACAGAACTGGAGTTACATTTTTGCCATAGTGCACGCACAAAGACAGCGTCCTGTCTCGTTTCACCTGGGTCTTCTGGGCTGTGACCTGAAAACTATCCTCCATCTCCTGCACCGTTTCCAGATGCCTCTTCTTCATCACTTCTATGTCATGAGTTATCTGCAGAGGCACACAAAATACAGCATTTAGGAGGCGTTACAAGAAACGATGCACATCAAAATGCTGTTCAAATGTCTTCAAGGCAGCAGGACAACCATGTGAGTGAAAGAACAACTCAGACAGTGACTTCATTGTCTGTTTGCACTCTCCACATAATTTGTCATGTTGTGCGTTGTTCGATACTTTTCACTGTTTTACCTTCAGTTAGAACTTGTTTTGGTTTGCAGCTGATTGTTAACGTGGACTTTAACATGTTTGTTGTCTTGCCTGATCAATGCAGAGTTCAGCTGACTCGTAGGGGATGTAGACCTTGATGTCGTGGGCGCTCTCAGCTTCGGGTGCCACATTTGCAACACCGCCTGCTGGCAGCTGGGATTCAGATGAACCTGTATTAAAATACATAAATAAATAAACAAGGCATGCAGGTAATATTAAATTATTTACTATTAAATATTACTACCCT